GCGCATTGTACATACGTGATCTTGAACTCATCGAGACTCACTGTCAATCAGTCTTCACAGTAATGGAAAGAGCGACTCCAATTGATGAGCTATTAATTTTTGGGGACTTTAACCTAGCAGGCGTTTCGTGGAGACCATCCCATAGCGGCTTCCTCTATCCAGATCCAGAACGTTCTGTATTTCATGCAGGAGCTATCGCCTTCTCGATAACTATAGCGTAGCAACGCTTTCTCAAATTAACTACGTAGTCAACGAGAACAACCGTAGTTTGGACCTCTGCTTCGTGAGCACTCAGGACAATGCTCCGTTCATTTCCACAGCACCTTGTCCACTAGTTAAGTTTGTTCCGCACCACCCTCCTCTGATTGTCACTGTTGAGGACAATCTCGTTCGTGATTTCGATAGTCTTCCTGGAGCGGTTTCTTATGACTTTCGAAAGGCCGACCATCGAAGCATTGTAGATGTGTTGTCAAACATGGACTGGGAGAACATTCTAGATCATGACGACGTTGAGGCCGCTGCGCAAACTTTTTCTCATGTCTTGGCATATGTCATTGACAGACACGTCCCGAAAATAATTCAACGCAAAGACTCTCACCCTCCCTGGCAGACGATTGAGCTGCGTAGGTTGAAATCGATCAAGAGAGCAGCATTGAGAAGATTTACGAAGTATCGCACGCTTCCTCTGAAACATCACTACGTGAGGCTTAATCACGAGTATCAGCGAGTCAGTCGTCGATGCTTTCTGCGATTTCAACGAGGTATTCAGCGTAACCTTAAACTTCACCCGAAATCCTTCTGGAACTACGTGAACGAGCAACGCAGAGAATCTGGCCTCCCATCGTCAATGGAATTGAACAGTGAAGTCGCTTCCACTCCGCAGGATATTTGTCGCCTTTTTTCTGTCAATTTTGCCAGTGTGTTCACTGATGAGAGACTAAGTGACGACCATGTTTCCCTCGCAGCCAGGAACATCCCACTAAATGGTCAAACGCTGAGTGCAATTGATGTCAACGTTGAGATGATGTCTAACGCTGCAACGCAGCTCAAATCGTCCTTCAACCCTGGACCCGATGGAGTTCCGTCCGTGTTTTTGAAGAAACATATTGCTTGCTTGTTAACTCCACTTCACCGTCTATTCCGGATGTCTCTCTCCAGTGGTATATTTCCATCCTTCTGGAAATGTGCACACATGTTTCCTGTCCACAAAAAGGGAAGCAAACGAGCCGTGGATAACTATCGTGGAATTACATCGCTGAGTGCTGTTTCGAAACTATTCGAGCTTGTTATTAAGGAACCGTTGCTCTCTCACAGCAAGCACACGCAAACCAAAAATCTATTACAATGAACGTTAGTTCCAGTTCCTATCATCCTCTGTTCATGAACATCGCAACGAATGTTAGGAATTGACCATGCAGGCGATGTAATGGTTTTTTGTCTTTTTTTATTTCGTGTTCCATCTACGCTTTCGACTATACCAGTTAGCTTGTAGAACATTGTAGAACGACGCACACACTTGCCTCGAATCTCTCCAGCAGAAAAAGCATACGAAGTCGAGCATTTTTATTTCGTCTTCCATCTACGCTTTCGACTATACCAGTAAGCTTGTAGAACAACGACGCACATTGTAGAACATTGTAGAACGACGCACACACTTGTCTCGAATCTCTCCAGCAGAAAAAGCATACGAAGTCGAGCATGCGAGAGAATGAGCGCTTCATTTTTGCTTTTAGGCTAACCATATTCAGAAGCATGGAGAGAGCAGTGGAGAAAGCACAGGTCTGATAGTCGCAACGTCCGTGGTTCAAGTCCAGTCGGCAACCTTTTTTCTAATTTTTTCGACATAATTAATTTCACTCACTAATACACTCCACATTTTTCGGTCTCCAATTTTCTTACATCGGACCGCAGCTAGGTATATCGCATCCTCGGTTCATGCGGTCTCCACTTACATCCTCTGATGATGAATCCCACATAATTGTAAGCGAATCTTACATCCACCGGTTGGGTGCAGTATCGGAGTGCTGATCAACACGGGTTTACTGGCGGTCGCTCTACAACCACCAATCTGCTATGCCTCACATCCTACATTACCGATAGTATGACCGAACGGGTACAGACGGACGTTATATATACCGATCTATCCGCGGCATTCGATAAGTTGAATCATGACATTGCGATTGCTAAACTTGACAGGCTTGGGGTGAGCGGTAATCTCTTGAGTTGGTTCCGTTCGTATCTTACTGGTCGCCAACTTATGGTTGCTATAGGAGATTGCAAATCAGCTAGCTTCTTTGCCACATCAGGTATACCGCAGGGAAGCCATCTGGGACCGTTGATCTACTTCAACAACGTGAACCTGGTTATCGAAGGACCTCGATTAGCATATGCAGACGACCTCAAAATATTTTTACGAATTTGCTCGATCGCTGACTGCCACAATCTTCAACATCGACATGGTAGTGAACCCAGCAAAGTGCTTTGCCATAACGTTCTCACGAAAAAAGCAACCGATTGTATTCAGCTATGACCTGCTTGGAACGACATTCGAACGGGTGAATCAGGTGAAAGACCTGGGTGTGGTGTTGGATTCACAGCTAACATTCAGGCAACACATTTCTTATGTCATCAATAAGTCGTCTAGGACTTTAGGATTCATCTTCAGGATAGCTAAGAATTTCACCGATGTCTACTGCTTAAAATCTCTTTACTGCTCCCTCGTACGATCGACGCTTGAGTATTGTTCTGCGGTTTGGAATCCGAATTACAACAATGGTGCCGAGAGAATCGAATCTGTTCAACGTCGCTTTCTTCGTTTTGCGCTTCGTAGACTGCCCTGGAGAGATCCGCTTCGGCTGCCCAGCTACGAGAGTCGCTGCCAACTGATAAACCTTGAACCTCTCCGGATTAGAAGGGACACCAACAGAGCTTTGATTATCGCCGACACTCTACAGGGACGAATAGATTGTGAGGCTATCCTAAGGCAAATTGACCTAAACGTGCAACCCCGACCACTCCGTAACAACCTCATGCTGAGACTGCCACTGCGTCGCACGAACTACGGGGCATATGGTGCGATTTGCGGACTACAGCGTGTGTTCAACAGAGTCGCATCTGTATTCGACTTTCACCTCACACGTGATGCGCTTCGTCGAAGATTCTCATCTGTTTTCGCCGACTGACAGAGAAAATTAGTGTATTTACATTTATGTTTTTTTTTTTACATTCTGACCATGTTGCTTTGTTTTTCTTTCTGTGATTATTTGACATGAAATTTTACTTTTATTATTATTATGATTAGTATTATTAACATCATTTGGGCTACAGCCAGCCTGTTGTTGTATGGCAACAATAAACAATAAAAAACTTTAAGAACTTTTTGTGATGAAACTTTTTTTATGGGACTGCACAACAATATGCTGACTAATTGGATTTACATATTTATATTGTTAGTGTAAGTCTATAAATTACCTTTGAATTTCGGGATTCGAACCGGCAGTTGCTGATTCATAGGCATCAATCATACCTACTGAACCACTTAGGCATATGTGTGGCAAAAGCTATTATCATTACCTTGAAGCACTTCAAATTTAAGTTGAATAACAGCAACCGGAAGAGTGTTATACAGCAATGCAGAATTGTAACAACAACTGGTGACAGTAAAACATTCCTCTCATTTTCAACTGTAGTTAACACAATGTGGACCCAAGTGCGCGATTTATTTCGATGGTCATGTGAAGGCATAATTGAGTTATATTTTTGGAATGCTGTCTGAAAATTCAGTGCAATATAGCAGTCAAAACACAGAAATACAAATGTTAATACCTCCGACGTTGTCGCAACCCACTTCTACCTGTAGCTATTCCTAAAAAGCTGTTCTACCTTGACTCTACTGCTGCCGCTGCTTGGGATTAGAAAGGTAGGCAGTGAATTTAGAAGAACTAAAAATGCCGGAAATGCAACGAGTGACACTGACTACATTTAATTCAATCTTTCGATCAGCTAACTTATTGAGGTTGAATTATATGGATACAATTAGCTTCATGCACTACTAATCAACAAAATATTCAGCCTGCTGTTAATCAGCTTTGTACACCTTAAATCAACCAATAATCAGCTTCTGTTCTTACTGTTCAGCTTGAATTGTTACTTGGGATACGGTCCTTAGATCTGCCTCAACTTGAAGTTCCGTTCACTTAAATTCGCTAAAACGTTGGCACTCGTAGACTGAATAAATATTTTTCAAAAATCTGCCCGAATATAAAGAAAATTGACAAAAATTTTAATCAGCCATAATATATTCGTAAACTGAGTGGAAATTTTGGTGATCTTCGTTTTTGCGGATTTGAGTAAACGGATCTCAAATTTTAGTGGACTCAACGGCCGTGCAGTAAAATACGTACGATTCATTAGATAAAGTCATATTAAAATTTCGAGGACGCTTTCAAAAACATCCCGATAGATGTCAGTAGCGAGTAATAATACGACAATTCTTTGTAACTCCTCATGTCATGTCGGTTTGTCTATGATGCAGCTATCAACTGCCTTTGAATTTTAGTCGAAGTTAATCAATATAACTTGAGAACGGCAAGAGTTTGGCTGACAAAGATTTCATTTCCATCCCCATGCTCCGTTTCCCTCCCTGCTTCCTAATTGAGATCACCGATGCAATTGACAAAGATGAAGCGACGTCCCCTTCGCACTACAGCTTGTCATTACATATTTACATAAAACCAGCTTAAAATTCATCCTCGCCACCCTCTGTCCTCCTGCGCCGTGTTCCTCAGAGAAAGATGAATAAATTATCTTTGACAGGTTCTCTTTCTCTCGCTCTCACCGAAACCATTATTACAAAAATGTCCTCAACCCCATTTAATCCACCAGCACGGGAAGGCTGTCGACCCGCTTTGACCCGACAAAGCGGCCTGATCGTCTGCCTGGTGTATGGTGTTTACATAGGCACCTAGTCTAGTCAGTTGTAATCCCAAATGAAAACTTACCGCCCGGTGTACTCCTCCGGATAGGGGATGATGTAGCCTTCGGGGCTAGGACGGGGTGAATTTCCAACCCAGAAGAACGCATCCGGGGCGGTTCCATCGTAGTGGAAGCCTTTAACGTACAGGGTCGACTCGTCAACGGCATACACCCGGCCCTGGGGGGATGAAAATGTTGTTGATTCGTATATATTAAAATCTGCAAAGAAATCGTTTCAATAAGCTTACCTTAACTCCGTGTCCAAATTCGACGATATCTCCGATTAGGCGTCCAAAGTAGTGTTCGGGTGCTCGGGATTCCACTGCAAAAAATAAAAATATGACACAGTATTAGAAATGGTTGAAATTGACAAAGTGCAGTTCTACAATCCTTGCACCCCATTGTCGTCGGTCACGTTTCAATCCATAGCACGCAATGTACCCATCAGAGTCGTAATTAATGCTGACAATACTGATGAATTGAAGCTGATGGATCCTGTGGAAAGCGTGTAGAAGTGACTTTCTTTTTTTTCCCAGAGTGTCCTTCGGTTGTTTCTCTTGTCTGTTTAGATAGCTAACCGTCTGGTTATTACAGAAAAAAAGCTTTTCGTCTGTGCATACCAAGAAAAATGGCAGTGACATACGTCAAACCAATTCCATTATCAATTCAGTCTAAATCATTGTCCACTCATTTTCACTTTCAAACAAAAACGATGACTAGAGCCTTCAGCGGTGCGCACTTTAATTTCGTTTTGCCTCGAATGGAATCATTGTTTCATCCCAATATTTGCATTTTTAAAGTACCTGAGAGCGCAAAGCTCCCAGCAATGTAAAACATCACGAATTTCAATCCGTCTAAGGGTACCATTTTCCCGAGACGCGGGATGCGATATCGAATTTCAATAAGAGGAAAAGGCTCTACTTTGATTTGAGCTCTCGAATCGATCGATTTCCGGAACTGTGTGTTCTTGTTTGCTGCACTCTCCGTTACATCGGAGTGTTTAGGTAAAGTTGGTTGTGTGCGTTTAGGTGATGGGGATTGTATGGCGTGACTACCGTTTGTCGATGTGGGCGTAGATAAGGATAAAGAAAAGTTTAAGCACTTTACTGTAAATAGTAGTATTAAGTAGTTTCTCTTCAAATTCTAAAAACAAAACAAACCAATCCCACCAAGGTGGTCGACCGTGTACTAAGTCTAGGACTAATTCTGTAAAACAAATTTTAAATTTTGCCCATACCTAAAGATGAAGAAAGCAATTAAATCACTTAGTAAAAATTTATATGGTAATCGTCCAAGTTAAACTAAAATAAAGATCATTTAAACTAAAAACTTAAGCACTTTACTTTTGAAACACACTAATGGATCACCCAAACAAGTCGCAGTGGTATCATTGAATGAACTCTCATAACAATGATTGCCAAAAGACTACACTTTAGTATTAACTAAACTTGTTGACCCACGAAATTCACATATAATGAATTTTAGCCTCATTTTTTTGTATAGGGTTTCTGAAAATAAAATACTGCGGCTTATTTAGAAATGAGCTCAATTGGAAATCAAAGTGGAAATAGTAACAGTTGACTAAACAGATAGGTAAAGTCTGTTCCAGTTAGTATTTGGCCACTTCTTTTTAATTACTATAGCGCCTCTAGTTATCGAAGCAAGAAACTATTGACAGCGTTTTGATCCGGAAGGATTGTTTATTTAGTAGTGAAAATTTCATCAGGATTCATATACTTGTTCAAAAGTTATCGAAGATGGAACGTGACAGACGTGAAAAAATTCTGCACACTCACATTTTGATACGTAAAAATGGACTTTCGACAAATTCCGGGCCAAAAATTTTACTTTGCTAAACGTAAGGGGGATGCTCCGGATAAATTCAAATTTGTCTTTGCAGATAAATTCGCTCGCAAGTCGATGATTTGGCAAGGCATCTGCAGTTGCGGAAAGAATACAAAGGTTTTCATCACTAGAGCGACTATGAATGGACAACTTTACAAGGTGGAGTGTCTCCAGAACATAATTTTGCCGTTCATTCCATCACACAAAGCTCTTGTTAAGTTATGGCCTGACTTAGCCAGCTACCATTACAGCCGCGATGTCATAGAATGGTATAAGCAGAATAATGTCGATTTTATTGAGAAAAGTATCAATACACCAAATTGTCCAGATTTTCGTCCCATTGAAACATTTCGGGCAATTATCAAGCGCAAATTGAAGAAATGTGGCAAAACAATCAAAACACCATCTGATTTGGAGAAGTGGTGGGAAAAGATGGTAGATGAGGTTGACAGTACTACTGTGCAAGACATGATAAGAGGTAAAAGTTCGAAAATTCATCCGAAAATCTGACGAATATTTTGTTGTACTTTTCCCTTAAAGCTAAATAAAAATCTTATAAAACGATTTCTTTATCGTTTTTTTACTTTATTTCTCCTTGGAGAAATGTCCTATTTTGTGCGGCCAAATTCTAAATGGAACAGACTTCAATTTTAATTTTCAATTTCAAATCAATTATATTATACGTTTATTAATCTGTCTGTTTAATGGAATTTATGCGTTCATGTTAATTTATACAAAGTGTTCAGTTCCTGAGTGCACAGAGTTTAAGGAGAGATATAAGATCATATTTGATGAAGAAAATTGTTGTACTTATAAGGTCAAATCTCAAAAATTACTGAGTTATTGAGCTTTTTTGACGTAGAACTACATCTTTATCGACTATACTGGGGTGCAAATCAAAAAAAAAAAATATGTGTGGTGAAGTAGTGTTAGGTTTTGAACGCTTGTAACTTTGTCATTTTTTAGATGAAATTTAAATCCCAATAATCACTGTTTTCATGAAATAAGAGTTTTTCCCAAACCCAGTCATCATAATCGAGTACCACTTGGTTGCACATCGTTCTGAAAAGATATAGGGTGGGAGGTAGGGGCAAGAATCCCAAAAAAATGTCTACGTAGTTAATGAACAGCCCCTAATACGAAACGCGGAAAAGTTATTGATGCAAAACAACATAGTTCATTATTAGAAACTAGAAAGTTAGACTTTTTCACCAAACACACATTTTTCATGTCCATATGTATTATTCATAGAAAAAACACGGCATACATTTAGACGCAGTGCAAAAATGACATGAATACGTTCAACCAAAATCCATTACCCTACACCGGGGCAAGTAGAAACGCGTGGGGAAGTTGAAAAGGTAGATGTAGCTCGTAGCGGAAGTGAATATTCACTGAGATTATTTCTAATATAGTTTGCGGTAGTACACAATGCCTATCAAAAATAATTACAGTGAATATTCACTTCCAAAGAGATATAAGTACTGTTTCAACTTGCACCGGTGTACCTTAACTATGATGTTTACTATCAAAACATTAAACCTATATACAAACTTTTGCTCTGACTTTGAAATTCAATAATCTACTAAGCACCTACATATTGGAAACCAAACGTTTTATTTGAGAAAAGTCACAGTACTCTATTTTGCAATCATTCTACGAACACGCTGTAAAGTACATAATGATGATGCATGGTTATTTTATGTTAGGGTTGCCATCTAAATTGAAGAACAAAGAGGTGCTTAAACCCCTTCCTCCCCTACTTCGTTGACATATGAACCAACATTTTGTTCAATATTTAAAGTACCGTCTTCTGACAGGTAAAATAACTGCCTGTTGCGTTATCATAAACTGCAATCTTCACTTTACACTCTGCTTCAGAAACCTAACTTAAAACTAACCTCGGCTTCCATCAAAGCGAGTATCACGTCATCACATATCTACCCAATCCTTTCTTGACCTGCATTTGCACGCGGCTGGCGCTGGTATTGCCATTGCCTTAGTTTAGATCACCAGTTTGTACACATTGAGGATGATTGCTAGTCCGAAGCTTCATCTGTTGGATATCTGTGTAATTACAGCAGATCCAGCAATAACGGAGCAGGATCCGCGGACGGTCAATCATGTTCGTGCTCATGCTCAAGCGCAATTTTTTTTATTTTTTTATGCAGAAACTTTAGTCCAGAAAAATGTTTTCCATTCACATAGGGTAAATGATAGCTTCGCCACTAGACTGATGCAAAATTTGAAATTTTCGCTCCACAGTGCTCAAACGGTTCCAAATTGAGCCCTGATTAGCCTCCCAAAATTTGAACTCATTTAGTGAGAAACTGACTTGGCACAAACCATTTGAAGTTTATATGGGAATTACTATGGAGAACCCAGGATTTCGGTTCATATCTATCAAAAAATTTACCAGTTCTCTCTACTTTAAAAAATGATAAGTTGATAACTGAGCTTGCTACAACTTTGTTAAAGAACACTTTTCGATCAAATGTAAGGAACACAAATTATTAATGATTCAAGTCACTGATGTCTTATGATTAAATATGCTCAATCAACTGTTAAGAAAGCAACATTTGTTGTTTATGGCGCGTTGAATAGAGGACAAAAATCATGGCTACTATGTCACACTGCAGAATACAGTGTTGCCTACAATACAGTTGCTACATCTTTCCATAAGATTGTCAATCTTTTAAACAATTAATAACTATTTAGTTTGACGCTTGGCTGAAAATTTTTTTGCAAAGTTGTAGCTGATAAAAATTTCCATAAGAATAGCAATAGAATTTGTTGACAGTGCAATATGTAAAAAGGCTATAAGACTATGAACAAAATGTTTTGTTTTCCCATAGTAATTTCCATATCAACTTCAAATGGTTTGTGCCATGTCAGTTTCTTATCAAATGAGTTTAAACTTTCGGAGGCTAATCAGGACCCGATTTTAAACCGTTTGAACACTGTGGAGCGAAAACTTCAAATTTTGCATCATTATATTCGCCACCCATTGACTGTTTTCGCCAACCAAAATTTAAACGTTAATTTCGCTGTATTTTCTAACCCAAACACTTCACTGGATGTATATATTTAAACAATTCCTTAGACTTTCAGCTTCAGTATGATTTCCTTTTTTACGACTGAGAAAAAGCAGTCATGTCACGATTTTTCTTAAATATATATTAAATATAGTTAGTTAAAATAAACAGTTAAGGTGATACGATACGTCACGCTTTTTTGCTTTTTTTTCTCCTTGAAATGATTATCATTGATGCTGTAGGGGTGTGAGTGTTATTAATAGGTCGAATGTGTAACAGTTAATAAAACAAATAGAAAGTTAAAGAAAAAGTGATTTATATCTTACTGTAAATTTCATCCTTCGTCATCTTTTGAAGATTATCTATTTATCATCCAATATTGAAACCATTACTACTAGCAATGGAATGTAACCACCGCCCAAGAGAATTACTTGTCCAATCG